GAGAACCAAATTTATTTCGCACCATTAGGACTGAGCAATGCCCAGTAGCTTTCGAGACTGTCCGAATCGTTGAGGCGAACGTGAGCATGTACAAGTGTAAGTTTGGTCGCTAGCTTTCCGAGTTGTGGGCTGTTGTTAGCCGGTTCCCAAAGCTACAAGAATTGCTTGTGTTGGTGTCAACAGCTTCACGTGTTGGGCACGATTTATGGTCTTCAGCGCTGAAGAACGGCGAGAGCGACACAGGCTCGCTGTTCAACGTAGTCGAGCACGTGAGAGCACTGAGCAGAGAGCACAGAAAGACTGCGCCGACAGCGTGAGCAACAGCAACGTGCCCGTACGGCTATTGGTTGCAAGAATCAATGTCAATCCAATGGGGAACCGCATCAAAGCTGACTAGACGGTGGTGCTCCGACTCTCCGTCCCGTGACTAAGAGTACGAAAGAAGAGGTTCTGCATCGATTAAGATTGAAACTTGGGCAGTCCGGACTCGATGATGCAACATGCGCCGTGTGCGACTGCATGAAGTTGCGCAAGTCGATGACATGGTTTCAGTTGGCGACGATTGCGATCGCATTAAGCAGATGCAATTCTGTTTGTTCAGTACCGACGAGCACTTGCCGTCACGTTTAATAGCCGAGTACGACTGCTCGGGGCTGTTTGCCTGTTTAGGTGAAATGTTGCTGTCAAAACGCGGTATTCATTCAGCTGGCTACATTCAAGTGTGTAGATAATGCAATGCCAGCTTAGCGAAGCCGTTGCTGCCGAAATTTGCTATCAAGAACGGGTTTTATGTTGGTTCGCTGCCGAGTCATCTCGCCAGTGCTACGCTACCGGAGCGTTTCATGACGCAGACGGTCTCGATCGTTGCTGTGACGCGGGTCATGCGCGGTGGCGCGCATCGCACAATCCGCTCGCACTTTCTCGCCATCGACCCGATGCCGGGCTCCGCCGTGACGCTGTTGCCCACATCCGCCCGCAACATCAGCTGCTACCGAGTCGTGATGGCAGGTCCGTTCACTACCGAGCAACAAGCTCGCATTCGGCAAATGCACCTCGTTCGTCGTCAATTGGTTGAAGATATACTGGCCTTCTACTGTGAGTACAACGCGCTGTATGAGGACGTTGCCATTAATTGCTCAGGTCTAGCGGTTGAAACGGTGGCAAAGCACTTGACTTCCGAGGAGATCGATGTCGACGTTGACGTCAACGATATCGATGCTGAGAGCAATCGTGTGGGCAGCGTCGCTGGGATTGGTGGGACCGGTGGAG